ACATTGTATATGATAATTGGCATCCACATCCAGGAAATATATCCAAACATTTAGTTGGAGCAGAATGTTTAATAACCGAAACAAATCATCCTAAACTCATGTCAGAGGACCGGCATAGGGACTTTGCCCCCAAACTACTCATGCTATTCCACTAAACCATAAGTGATGGTGGTTAGCTGACTATGCACTTTTTTAGGCTTACTCCGAAGATTGGAAATTCACGTCGCTTCTAAAGGTTAGCTCACATCTTATAATAAGTACCCTCATGCTCAAATTTCATTGTCCATTTATCTCCCTGATTCCCTTACCCTCCCCTTCTGCAATACCCTTCATCCATACCTTCCCAACAAATAAAATTATGGAAATTCCTAAAGCTAATCAATAACATATCCTATAAAACACCACAATCCTTGATAATATAACAATATTGTGCAATTAAATTGAATGAATGTAATAAAACATGACAGATTAAACCAACAAAACAAAACACAATTATATTATACCTTATCATTTGCTCTCTGATCTTTGCTATTATCCACAAAAATCGAAAACCCAGCATCCATAACATGTCTCCTAATACTCAAGTAAGCTTGAATCCCAACCAAAACCCGATCAATCTCCTCCGGCACTTGCTCCATCAACTCAGCCCCTCCCCACGGAAGACAAGACAATACACAACTAATATAGAAATCGGCACGCGCTTGCCAAGCCGGGTTTCCTTTTTCCTCATCAATAATCGTAGCGGCCGACGAAAGCAGCGTCTCAAACACAACCACCAAAGCACCCGGCTGAAGAACCTTACTACACATCAAAACAGTAATAAATCGCAGCAAAACACGAATCCTATCACAATTCTCAGATTGAATTGCTTCTTGTAAGTTCGAATGTGTAGTATCAACAACCAATTTGCCGAGTTCTTCCTTCTCTAGGTTTAACAGCCCGATTAAAGTGGCGTAAAAGGGGGATTTGTGGGGTAATTGTTCGGCGCATTGAAGAAGGTAGTAGAGAATTTGTTGGTCTTCTTGTTGGTCTAATTCGCGCCAGAGAATGCCGTAACAAGAATCGATGTGTTCTTTGAAATCTAGGGTTCCGCCGTATTCTGGGCATTTTTCGCCGATTCGAAGGATTAAGGTTTTCCAGCTGCTCATTGTTGAGGAGAGTGAAAGTAGAGGGAGGAGAGAGGAAGAAAAAGTTGGTGGTGTTGGGAAGTAGAGTGATGGTGGTTGCTGCGGCGGTTTTGGTTGGGAGAGAGAGACCAGATGAAGGAAGAGCCAAAGGGTTTGGGTTTGGGCTTGGTTTTTTTTTTTTTTTTTTTTTTTTTTTTTTTTTGGTGGGTGGGTTTTACCTTATTTTTATAGTATTACTCTATTTGATCGAAATATATTTGCAGAAATGAAGTTATATTAGGATCTTGCCAATAAACGCCCCGACATAACCATTTAAAATAGAAGTTTAATGTTTTTACCCATCTTATCTGACGTTATGGGGCATTTTATAGAAATGAAGGTAGTTTTATTATTAAAAAAAATTTGAATGTATTTTTACTTTAGTGAAGAGTGAACTTATTTTTGCTAAAGTAAAATAGTTTTTAAATTAAATCAAATAGAAAGGGTATAAATTCATATAGAAAGGTTCTTAATCATGTATTCGTATAGCAAGGAAATCAGATAAGATGATGAAGAGAAGAACGATAATGCATCCAAGTCAAAGTGCGCCTGATTGTATTGCTGATTGTTGTAGTAGGGTGGACACGTTGAAAATTGTTGATGATAAATTGATAATTGCCTTAATGATTTGCCTGAGACATGCAAGTAGCATTTACCCAAAGGACTCGTACAAACACTGATTATTGACTCATGACTTGAGTGGATTTGAATTTGCATGAGCTTGATTGTGTAGACTTGGACCTGTTTGTGCTTTGACACGAATATTTGTTATTTCTAGTGTGTGCAAATGTCAAGAAATGATTTTGCTTGCTTGCTTGCTTGCTTTGTATTGATGTATTACTTCAAAAAACATAAACTCGCGGTCCATAATCTAAATATACACGACTAACATTAGCCCACTAAGTACAACACATAATCCTTTAACAAAAACTATTGCATGCATACATAAGCTAGCCTAACATCAAATATAGCACGCTTGACTTAAGCCATTCAACTCCATTATTGTAGAAATATTCTTTTTTTCAGTTTCCAAAGAAACGAATCGAGCATACTGGCCAACAACTTTCCGAAATAATCGGCTCTACATTAGGTGCATATCCATTAAGTGCATAACGTTAAAAATCAATTAAGGACTGTATTGTATTTGTATCTCTCTTAAGGTTAAAAGTATCCATATAATATTTCATCTCCATCCAAAACTTATACTAATATTAGCGTATTCATTATGATACTAATGTTTGTAATATAAATATAAGCTAACTGATTGTAAGCATTTTTATTGGATACAGTGGGTTAATTAGATACATGTTGTTTAATATTCTAATTAAATGTTATAAAATGAACAATCAATGAATAATGGCAGACCCAAAGTTGTACAATTATTATTAATAAAATTTCGGAGAAAAGAAAAGGTTGTGAGTTTAGGAGAGATTATTATATATACCCCGGTCAAGCGATTTGTTAATATTTTTCATAATGTATAAATCATAAAACACGGTCAAAAGGAAGTGTGTAATTGAATACTCCTAAAGATGTAGGTTATATATATATATATATATATAGCACTTCAGAGGAAGTTTTTTCACAAAATTGTGCCAAGTGTCTTACTTGGTAATTACTTATAAGATAGACTTATGATGATCTGGAGTAATTTGATTCATCCTATCATATTACCTCCATTAACTTTTGGTTGCAACAAAGATAATTATTTGTGAGACGTAAAATATTCTTTTGTTGCAATTAAAAATTAACAAAAATAGTAGATTTTTTTTTTAATATAAATAATAGAATTTTATATTGTTAAGGTTATCTCTAATTCTCTATAATACTTTCTCTGTTTTTTTAATTGACACCTTGGTATTATCACGCTTGCCAACATATGTTTTTAACGATTAATATCTCTAAATTTTATAGATGACCATACCAGACCTCAAAATTTAGATTCAAAATAATTGAGAGGGCTCTAAACTTTAAATATACGATTGAAATGTTAAAGGCGTTGAAGCTGTTATAGCAATTGTGTAAAACATTTGCAGAAATAGTTGGGCGAAAAATGCCTTTAATACACAAACGTACGAATCGCTTGCATATAGAACAAATCTTGTGTATGATTGGCCAATATTATGAATAATTCATCTCATAATATGTATTTCCCCCAATCATAATTGTTTTTAGCCATTTAGCTGATAGTCGTGAGAATGGGCCACTGCCAATGGAAATACTACTCCATGAAATAGTCCACCCCAAAATTCGTGGATCTTCACCTCTGGCGAGCTCTCTCAACCAACGTTAACCGGCTTCTCATCAAAGAGACGACAATAATCAATGCGTCTATTCCATAGACTTGAACACGTACGTGTAATGAATAGTGGAGGCCCCGTAGAATTTCCCTAAAACAATGGAAGACTCAATAAATGGTGGAAAGAAAAAGTTGTAAGCGAGAGATTATTATATATCCGGATGTATGATGCATCCATAAATATTTAGGATGATTAATGTTAAGATAACTCTATGAAAAGATTTGATTAGTGGACAACTTGATATAAGATAGATTTACGGTAATTTGATACTCGTATTGTTTAGGTTATCTTGTGTATGCTATAAATATTGGTTAATATTATGATTAATTCATCTCATAATATTTTAATCATAATTCATTTAGCTGATAGTCGTGAGAAGAATGGCTAAAAGTGAGAACGGCAATTCATCACTGCCAAGTGCCAATAGAAATACTACTCCATAGGATTACCCACGAGATCTATTATAAGGTTTAAGTGCTTAAACAAAGAATTTTATAACTACATCTCCTCCCCAAAATTCGTGGATCTTCACCTCCGGCGAGCTCTCTCAACCAACGCTGACCGGCTTCTCTTCAAAGACATCAATAATCAATGCCTCTACTCCTTAGACTTGAACTCGTACGCCCCCGCAATCAATATCCCTCTTCCCCCAAACCCGAGTCTACTTATGTCATGTGGTAGGAACATACAATGGTTTGGTTTGTCTAGGATTTCCTTGGTCTACATTCAGTAAATGGGGGGAATGCTTCATGTTTTTGAATCCATTGTAAGAGCGATGGACCGCTTATTATTCTCCTCCTGACAGTAAATACTACTGTGTTGCAGTCGATGGACCTACTTTGCCGGGTACCATTGATGGTTGTTTGTGTTTCTCGGTTAACATTCTAGCCAAAAAATGCACTCATGTATGGATCATGAAGGAGTACGGAGTAGAAAAGTCATGGATGGATGAGACTGTTTAGTATTACTCCTCGACTGTCTTTAACTTCCCTTCCGTTTGTTTATTGGAGGAGAAAAACAAGAGAACTTTTGCTCAACTTAGACCACCCTCAACTCGAAGAGGAAGGCTGTTTTTGGTATTACTTTGGAGATGAAGCAACTAAAAGGCTTACATTCAATGAGGCTCCTCCTCCTTTCAAGCTTCTCACCTCATGCCTCGAAACTCTTCTTCCCGCTCCTGGTGGTTGTCGCATTAAAAATTCCTAAGCAACTAATATCGACGAAGATAAAGGTCACGTATGATACTCTACACGCCAATAAATACCAAATAGATATATTTTGTTCATGATCAGGTTATCTTAAAGAACACAAGTTGCATTGTTTTGTTTGTTTTTGCATATGAATGTTGAACTATTAATGTGAGCTTATTAAACTTATTGAATTTAAACCCTCGCATAATGATTAAAAACCCAAAACATATCCCTTAACACTTATTAACCCACAAATTTGACTAGTTAATGAATTGGAATAATTTGATAACAGAATAACATACCACACAGCACAAAACTCAACTAAAGTAAACTGCGGAGTCAACTAAACTCAACTGCGGAGTATTAAAATGAGGTTGCAACTGTACCACACAGCATTGATCCTGTAAAACAGAGATAACAGTAACATAGTCACATTTCAGTAAGATAATTTCAGGAATTCTACTCCAAAACCAGAAAGTAGAAACTGAATCTATGATAATTGGGAAGAGACAATCCAACAGTTAATACAGCTAACGCTGGCCAAGTCTAATCTACATCTAATACACATTGCCAATCCGGTCTCGACCAACCCCACGTCTGTCATCCCTTCCCCTTTCAATGTAAGGGTCCCTACGGAAGTCTTTTGGTGGTGGTCCACCTCTAATGGGAGAGCGACTCCTCTCTCTCATATCACGATCAGCCCATCGTCCACGAGGTGGTGGCAGCAGAGGTGCAAGAGGAGATAATGGCCGCCTCTCATACCCTTTCCTGTCCAAAAAGCCATCTCGTCCATGGTCTCGTGGCCCCCATTCTGGTGGTGGTGGCCTGTCAAACTTGCCACGATCTCTAAAATCTTCATCAGGGTAGTCAAGCCGATCCCTTCGGAGGTGGTGGTCAGGAAACCTGCCTTCATGTCTAGGAGGCGGCCCACCAGGTCCGAAATCTCTTGGCCCATCTCTTGGCCAGCCACGTGGAGGAGATCTGTAGCCATTACCAAACCTGCCAGGTGAGCGATCTATTGGTGGGCCTGGGAAACGACGTGGCGGCCCCATTGGTGGAGGTGGGCCACCATATCCTCTCCGGGGACTTCCAGCAGGAGCATAACGAGACCTTTTACAGTTGTTGCAGTACTCTCGCCTGGCAAAGTTTAAGTTCCCACACCTGAGACAGCAAGAGAAGCTTAGGCATAAATAGATGAAACTTAAACAAGCAAGTTGCTGAAAGCTGTTTCAAAAACAGAACATTCTTGTGTAAAATGAGGTAGATCACGTGAGATCAGAACCATCCAAATGGATATAATTTTAGTTTTTAGCACTTTATAAAACATGCAACAGTACAACCAATGAATGCAAAGGATAGAAAGGGATCACAAAGGAAATTGAGAGAGAGGGGCAAGGGGGGAGATATCTGGGGTGATATTTGAAACAACAATACACTTACGCTGGATCCGTGCAGTACCAGTCCCCTTCTCTTGGCCGAACATTAGGGTTGTTCTTGTGCATTCCTTCCCCTCTGGCTGCCCCGGGACCATGACCAGGACCATCAAATCCTCTTCCAAACGGACGACCACCCCTTCCTCGAGAATGAGAGGGTGAAAAGTCTCGGTAACGACCAGGAGACCTCACGTTCTCTCTCCCACCCCCAAATCCACGATGCCGAGGTGGGCCATCTAAACGATCAATGGGAGCAGGACTATATCTACGTTCCACTTCTCTGCGACGCACAGGAGAACCAGAAACCGCCCGTGCTCTATACCCTGGTGAATGTATTTTGTAGAAGAACAAGAAAACAACACTGATGATGTTGAAATGAACAACTGCTACTAATATCATGGTAAGAAGATTAAATAGTCCATATAAACTATCAGAAGGTTCAATTCACAGCCCACATAACTTGGTTGGAGACTATTACCAACAGCCTCCCGACCAGTATTAGTATATCACAAGATTCTAGGACATGATAGCAGTCCCTGTTTTCTCAAACAAGCAGCCCGAAATATATGCATGTGTTTATTAACCATAAACAGATCATCAATTTTAACCAAATACCAGCAGAGATATGTATTAATCCCAATTCTAAAATGATCCAGTTCACCAAAATGTTCTGAAGCAAGAATACATGTTAAAATCCATATGAAACTACAAACATCTAAATTTTGAACCATCTTTCCGACGGCAAAGTGGCAATAGGGTTTTCAGCAAAGTAGTAAACCAGCGAACGCAATCCCAATAAGCTGTCTCCAGCTAGTGAGAGCTAACACTAAAGAGACTAATACTAAAAGCACACAAGCTAAATATCCTCAAGGTTTGGTTTTAAACAACTTCCACAGAAAATTAGGAGAAAGGCTAGTTCAAGAGTGAAGGCCCAAGAAAAGCATCTTGAACCCATGAAACTGTGGAAGCAAGATATTTCAGTGACTTGGAAACTGTGGAAGCAAGATATTTCAGTGACTTGGGGGCTGAGGCTGAGACCATAAAATGAGATCTTAGACCTGAAAACTACTACTTGGTGAATGGTGAGTGAGCCATACAAATGATCCCAACCGCCTTTGTATTTTCTCCCAAATATTTTGCTCTAACGTTGTCCACCAATTTGTTTGACGGACCTTTGAGGAGTGTTGGCACAACCGTCCCCCAACGTGGAAAAAAACATATATGATCCCCCCAGCAATAGATGTCCCTCTCATAACATGCCATGTGACAGGAAATAACAGATAACCTCGCCATAGCACTTGCAGAATTATCCTCTGAACATCTTCAATCCCAAACAATAGATGTCCCTCATGTAAGAGAATATATATGCCATCAGTATCTAGACACAAAAGATTTTATAACCCTGACCAAGATATCTATCCTAGATTGGCATTTATCCAGATGTACAAGATTGAGACATATATGAAGCCTGAAAGGCTGACTTCCTCTCTAACAATTTGCATAAAACCTAATCTTCTGCAATGGACTAAGAGAGAGAGCCAAGGTTGTCCAGCTAAGCAGCAAATTCTCCCTCTTGCAAATTTGCAATTGTATACCAAAAACCTACTGCCAAAATATGCCACACTTAAGAATTCAAATGACATAAACTGAAAGGTTTTCTGCATAATTGGTAAGACAAACTGATTGACCACCATTGCAATACATACTCCATATTTATGTCAACCTGACCATCAATTTTACATCAAAGCTTACCATCTAAAAAATACTTCCAAACCAATTTTGGGCAACAAACAAGATCCTAATCACAATTTTGGCAAAATTCCAATCCAGGAAAAGTATGCATCATTGTGGGCAAGATTTTAACTTATTTCCAGCCGATTCCACAGCAAAGCCCCCATAATCAAGCTGATGGCCCTGATATTGCAAATAAACTCCTGACCCTTCAACCATTAATCAAATATGAATTTCCACCTTTACCTACTCCAATCAGTAAGGCCATCTTGAGGCTTTTCCAGTACCACATTAATAAAAACATCCAAGGTGAATCCTCCAAAGGAGACCCCTATAAACCGGTGTCAAAGTTCCTCAACTCCCAAAAAATGGAACCTTGGTATTATACTTGTAATCAAATGACACCGAAAACAAATCAGGTTTCCAAGTCATGTAAATACTTATTTTAAGGAAAATGCCGCATTTACAATTACCCCTGAAAACCAGAAAAAGGAAAAGAACCCCCAAAACCCAATTCAAAACCCGCATTCACACAAAATATGCCTTCCTCAAGATCCCCATTCTTGCACCAGGCGATAACTGAAGCTGTGACACGCAATAAACAATTTCATTCACCATTCATTATATTGCATGCAGAAAAACCACGTTTTTGAGATAAAGCATATGACATGTCATGCTGGACAGATAACTCAGCAGCTTTCAACTGATTGATAAAGAAAAAAATAGGTAATGTACCATTTAATTGGAGTATAATTATAGGAGATGAACACAAAAATGCTCCTACACATATAATTCATGTAATTGTTTGGTGACATTTCCAGAGATGCATGCCTTGACCCTGACAACCCTTTGCCCCTAGATGCACCTTAAGACCTTAATTATTTGGCATGCAAAACTAAAAGGTGGATAAAAGATCTCCCAAATAATGTTTGTAAGAATTGAGAAGTTGGAATTCAGTTTTGATGATGGCACTTCATATACGACAACATCAACATTCTCACAATAGGTAAGGCACCGGAAGTAACAAGATTTAAGCTTGCAAATCACATTGATATACAATACCTCCCATACTTTCCCAATAGCATGAAAGCATACAAACAAAAATTGATTTCAAGTTCAAGAAACTGAACTTATTTGACAGTATTAACACACCCCCTCATAAATTTACACCCACCAAATACAAATCTAGACATGTAGGGAAATCATGAATTCAGAGTCAATAAAAGAAAGGGGGCATTTCAAATTTCAATATAATAAAAAAGGGGCAATCGAAACTTAATCAGCAGCATAATTTAGGATAAACACCCCGAATAAAACAATCACATCACAAATCAAAGAGCACAAAAATCAACTAAACAATATCAAATTCGGCAAAATTAGTCAAAAAAAAAAAAAAAAGCTTAATGCACCAAATCAAACCAGAAATCGACAAACTTCGATACAACAAACCCTAATCAGATTTCAATGAAACCCTAAAAATAAATTTCAAATTCAAATAAAATAAAAACAGAAAAATCAATAAACAGAATTAGATCTGGAAAAGGAGATAAAAGACGAACCAGGATCATCGGAATAACGATCAGGGCGAGAATAAGGAGGAGCGTCACGGCGAACTTCGCCGGGCTCGTAATCGCTACCAGCGCCGCCGCCGCTGTCGGACGGGCGAACGACAAGGCTACTAAGCAGAGGTTGGTGTGGCGCCGACTCATCTCGCGACCCCATTGTTTCTCTCTCTAATTATTCTCTGTTTCTCTCTCTAAAAGGAGAAAATCGAATGGATTATTGTTGAAGATGGAGAGATGCTAAACCCTAGTAGACTGGACTAGTTTGTAAGGGCGTAGTCAAGAGGATGGGCCCGATGAGGGTTCAATGCTATCGTTTAATTCCACTTCAATGACTCTTTGTTTTGCAATGTTCTCTATTTGTGCTACTAATAAATCCTTTTGGACCCGTGATTTTTTGGCAATGGGACACAAGAAGGGTCGTGTAAAGATAACATTTTTTTAAAATTTTGTGCTAGTCTACTTGATTTTATCCTATTTACAAAAATTTCGTATTAAAGGACTCTATTAGTATGTATGTCTCAATACAATAAGACACATAAGACAAGTCACACGGCATGACCCCACCCTTCTATGACTTCTTCTTGCTCTTATTAGGTATGACCTGCTTGAACATGAGATCTACCTAGCATGACACATGAACTTGAAGCCTTGAACGCCCTGTGCCCAGTTTTAATGAGGGTGTGATATTGATTGGAAAGTCTGAGTAGTCCCTAGTCATCATCTTTGTGTGTAATTTAATGAAAATATCATCGCGGGGTTTAAATTGACACAAAAGTGTTGGGTTGTTGTGCCTCTTGTCTCTAATTAATAGAATTGTAATGTTTGTTGCTTAATCTATCTATATTTAGTATTTAAAAACACAAACCATCATCCTCATCATGCCACATGTTAATTTTATTTTTCACCAATGTCACATGTCACCTCATTTAACCTTTCTTTTTAATCCCCTTTCTCATATTAAAAAAAAAAAAAAAAACACTAGCTTTAATTCAATACATGTATGAATGTTGATGGAATGATGGTTCACTTTCCCCCAACTTAATATCTTCTACAATTACATTCAATTTTCACCCCTTCTTCTCCATTATGAACTATTCATTTTCCAATAAAAACATATTATAAAATAAAAATTTATATTGTATACCTATAAACAATCTGTGCATTGCAGGGGTCATAAGACTAGTTAACCTTTAAAAAGCAATGATCAAAGAATGACACTATAGAGCTTTTGCATGTTTGTGAATATTGAAGAGTCCAAGGATTTAACAATCATGCTTATTGAAATTAATGAGTAGGAGATTTGTTGTGTTTCAATTAACTACCCTGAAATTCTCATAATTTGAGAGATGGCTCGTGAGTGGATTAGATTGCCTATCATTGAGCACATTCGATTGTATTTGTACTACTAAGTGGATGTTAAATTGTTAATAAGTTAATGATAGAGGCTTCTTGATGATATAAGTATATATTCCCCACTAACCTGAAGAAAGGTCTCTTTTATATAAGTATATGTTATATATGCAGGCAACATAACTTTCAAGTGGCATTATCTCATGTTTTGATATTTATTTGATTGTGTTTTTCTTTCTTACTCATTTTAATTATTTATCTATTGTAAGAGAATCATTCAGTGATGAAAAAAGACATGAAATGAGATAGTATTCTCAACAACTGAAGCAGCAAATTGCCTCACTCACTCTTGTAATAATAACAAAGTACTTTATGGTGATTAATACTCCCTTTGCTCATAGTAAAAACAAAACTTTTCAACTTTTCAACTTTTTTTTTTTTTTTTTTATATGACCTGTTTTATTGAACACGATTATCAACGCATAGATTAAGGCCTCATTTAATTGACACGGGAAATAATTTATCGTAGGAAGTTGTATTTCATAGGAAATTATTAGGAATTTCTTTAAGCTGTTTGGTAGTGACAATCAGAAGTTGGAATTCTCGTGAATTTTGAATGACCAAGGGGGGCCTATGTAATTTACTTTCTACATTTTGTGGGAAGTAGAAATTTTCATGAATTTCAACTTCCCCCATTTTTGTTTTTCTGTGTCAACCAAACAACTATCCAAATTAGAAAATCCCACAAATTTTCACTTCCCCTATTTTATTTTGTCAACCAAACAACCCTTAATAAATTATACTCCTTTTGCCCCATTCTGATCACTACATAAAGCAAAGTTTACTTTATTACTCCATATTTATTACTGTAGGAAGTGAATTAAATCTGTGCACATGAGATTAAAGATGGAATTCATGAGGAGGGAGGGGAACAACAAAAGAATGGGATGATTGCAAAAACATCAACAAAAGAATAATTGATAAGTTGAGTATTCTTTTTAACCCTTTAAAGATATATCAAAGAGAAATACAGAACAAACATATAGGAACAGACGGAGTAAAAAAAATCGAATACTTATAATGTCTTCAACATTTTGACAAATTAGTGGACCATGACACCTCTTTTCCTCAAAACAAATAGAAGAAAGATACGGTTGCTTTGTTGTTTTGATCTAGTCCTTTGTTGTAGGAGTAAATCATAAACTAACCCACTTCCCAAAAACATCATCAATACAATAAAAGCATTCATTCTTTCTTCCTCCTTTTCTCTTCCACTTTCTCTCTCTTCCCCTACGAAATTACCCGCTCATCCAAGGAACTTCGCGTACCTTCTCCACTCCTTTACTCTCCAACTTCTCGTACCAAATTCATCCTTAATCAATCAAAATTCAGCAAATTCTTGATCATCTTCATCAATCTACATTAATTGTTAGTGATTTCGAGGTATTAATCTGTAAATTCATCTTTCGATTATTGCTACTCTTTATTTTGATTGCTATTATTGCTGTTATTTTTGTTTTTTTGTTTTTGTATAATTATTGTGTAATTTTTTGTGTGATTTAGAATTCTGATTCTGTTTGATTTTTAATGTTTTTTTGTCGGCGAAAAGAAAATCTGAAATCAGAGTAACTTGATTTTAAGTGTGGAAATTCTGGAGCATAATGATCTAAAGTGTGAGAAATTAAAATGATTTTGATGTGTTTTTTTTTGTTTGATTCTGCAGAATTCTGCAAAAGTTTTCTGAAAATTGATGCGCAAGTGTTGATTTTGAGGTTGGGATGAATTTTCCGACTTATAAACGAATGAATTCCAGAGAATATACGGAAACAATGGACGAAGAAAATAATTCAGGTATTTTATTTAATATGAAGTTTATGTAGAGTATTATTCAGGTGGAGTGGAGCCAAGAATATTATAATTAGGATATCTGTAACGATTGTAAGTTAGAAGATGCATATCTTAGCTTCCCTTTATGTATCGGTGGTGGTTGTTTAGATTTTTGTTTGATCTTTAGTGTGTTTCACTATATAGCTCGTCGTGTTTGCATTTGGCAACAAATTATCGTAACTAATATAGTTCCAAGTGACCTAATCTGAGTAACAAATGATGTAGTAGCTGCTTTTCTTTGTAGGTTTTTTGCAGAATGATACTTGGCAAGAAAGTGGGAATCCTTCGTGGAAGCGATCATTGCCTCATGTACTTGTGGCGACATTAACTTCGTTCTTGTTTGGCTACCATATTGGGTTTGTTTGAGTCTACTTAGCCTCGTTTATTTACATGTTACATGAAAAAAAAAGTTAAACTCTTGTGATAACTATTGAAATTCCTTTTGGGACAGAGTTGTTAATGAACCACTTGAAAGCATTTCTATGGATCTTGGTTTCAAAGGCAACACGTTGGCAGAAGGTGATGCATGTGAAATTGAAAGTTGTGGATTATTTTAAGTCATTATACTCTGTTATTGAACTCTATTTGTTTTACATGAAGGTCTTGTGGTGAGTACATGCCTTGGGGGTGCCTTTGTTGGATGTGTTTTTAGTGGTTCAATTGCTGATGGTTTTGGACGTCGTAGAGCTTTTCAGCTATCTGCTCTTCCAATGATAATAGGTGCTTCTATGAGGTAGTTTTTTGATTCCTTGGCCTGTTCTCCATATTGATTGTTGTTAAAAGTCCCGGACTTGTAATCCTTGTAGAACTAGATCATGTTGAACTGACCTGTCAAATTTTTCTTCAGTGCTATGTCGAACACGTTGCAAGGTATGCTATTGGGAAGGCTGTTAGTTGGGACTGGAATGGGTCTGGGTTCCTCAATTGCTGCTCTTTATGTTGCTGAGGTATGCTTTATGATCTGTATAGATCAAAGTATATATCCTGGTCACATGCTTTTTTACCCCCCCTTAACAAAAGAATTTTCTTTTTGTTATGTAAAAATTTAGATTTCTCCAGCTTTTGTAAGAGGTACCTATGGAAGCTTCATTCAAATTGCTACGTGTCTTGGTCTCATGGCAGCTCTAGTTGTTGGAATTCCATCAAAAGACATTACAGAGTGGTAAACTTATTTTACAAGTATCACCTCCGCCATTTCACTTTTTCTTGATATTGTGAAAGTGGTTAGTAGAATATGTATGTCTTACCTTTGATTTTCAGGTGGCGTATGTGTTTTTGGCTCTCCACCATTCCAGCTGCCACACTAGCTCTGGGTATGATATTCTGTGCTGAGAGTCCAATTTGGCTTTACAAGGTTTGCTCCTATTCTTTTTCTATTATGTTTACTCTGTACATGGATGCACAAGACTTGAATCCTCAAGTAATGAAGCATCTGGACATTTTGTCATTTGAGTTCTGCCAATTTCAATTTTCAGTTGCTTGGCTGGCACTCATCATTAGGTTGCTGCAAGATTCTCAAATTGCTTTTTTATATGCCTTGAAACAAACTGTCTCAGCCCGCTTGATACTTTGTTGATGTTCTTTCTTTGCGTGCAATTTCCTAGTGAAAAGTACTGTGCTATAAACTGTCATTGTCAAAACTCAAAAGTGCTTATGTGATCTTTATGCCTCTTGGTTGCCAGTCCACTGCTCCTGGTGCTGTTGCTTGATAGGGTAACAGAAAGCAATCTGATACTTAGTAATGACTAACTAGTAAAAGATGTACCATGCATCAGGGGAGAGGGGAGATAAGACAATACTGTGCCCCTCCAATTAGGAATGTGGAAGGTCTTACAATCTCAGTGGTGCTAATCTTCCTCATCACTATCTGTCCCAAACTAATGATCTTTATTGACAAGTTGTAAGAGTATTGTCTGAATGTAATTTGAAAAATGTAATAGAAAATGATAGGATAGAAAAGGAAAAGACTTGAGAGCTAAATGATGACTTTTAATTAAAAGCTTAGAGGAATTGCGTGGGAGATCTTTAATAGTACTCCCTTAGCCCCTAAATAATAGTTCATTAGGCCAAATTTCTACTTTATGATTTCAAAAATTAATTGGCTACTATTTAACTTTAGTTAAGTTTAACTTTAAGGTTTTCCATATTATTCTTATCGATTTCCTTAACTGAATTCTATAGAAAGACTACATTGGCATGGATGTATGGTAGAGATATATAAGGGAAATTCAAATCATTCCTTTATAAAGACCCTCCAATTAATGCATCCTATTATTTAGAGATGAGTAATTAAAAAAAAAAAAAAAAAATTATATATTGACCAAAAGTAGGGAAAAAAACCAGGGATATTGATATTGGATTAGCTTAGAGAGGAAGGCAGAGAGTTAGTTAGAGGTGAGAGGGGAAAACATATCTATAGAGGAGATCATTTAGAGGAATGATAAGTACTGTAGAAATTTGTCAGTGAATAGTATTTTACTTTAGCTAGTAGCTTGGGGTGTCCAGCCACTCAAAGTACTAAAATTGTATTTATCCTTAGTAATGATTTAATTGCATTGCTAATACAACCATTTATCAATTCCAAACCTCTTCCTCATTACTAGGTTTCTAATTTTTCCAATCTATTACAGGAAGTTAGGGAGTATATATATATTTAGTACTGGCATGGTGGCATGTTATCTACTTTTGTATTTATGTGACTAATTTTTCAACCCCCCATGTGTTTTCTTTAAGCTTCTTTTTTTCTAATATGTTAATTGTGCACAACTTTTGTCCCCGTTTCTATTTTATTTAGCCCTGGTCCATTTTAATATGGTTTAAATTTCAAATCTGTCTGCTAGTTGATGATTTTGACCTCAAGAAGTTAACACGAAGTGTCACTGTGGTACTAGAAAAAGATGTTTGGCTGCTTGCTTGATAAGCCTTGCATTTCTAAATAATTATGGATGTATATTGTTGCACTAAGGTGATAAACTTGCAAGTATATGTACTTGTTATCTTTGTTCATTTGGTGAGGACCTTTCTCGAGCCTTAGGACATCAGTATACCATGAATTAGAGAATATATTCTCCGTTAGAGACATATGTGATTTGTTTAACAACTATCTTGATGATGAATTGTGTTCTCCCTTTTTGGAACTTTTGCTTGCAAGACAACTCAGGCAAGTTTCAGTCTCTCTGGTGCTTATGCTCCATGTATCAGACTTGTTGTCAGTTGCTCTTTCATTTTCACTATTGTTGGTTTAGTGCTCACAACTGTTCTGTTCTTGCACGTGACTTAGCAAGGAAGAAGCTCAGAGGCTGAGGCTGAATTCGAAAAACTTTTGGGAGGATCATTTGTCCAATCTGCAATGGTGGAACTGGAAAAATCTGATAGAGGAGACACTGAGGAAGTGAAGTTGTTGGAATTGCTCACTGGTCGACATTCAAGAGGTATGTGCAGTACCACTGGTGTAGATGCACTTTCAGTGGTTCATTTACAAAATTTTCATAATTTACCAGAGATGCTTGTATTCACTTATTCCTTTTGCAGTTGTTTTTATTGGATCAACCCTGTATGCTTTGCAGCAGCTATCTGGTATAAATGCTGTTTTTTATTTCTCTTCAACTGTATTTAAGAGTCTTGGTGTGCCATCCAACCTTACAAACGTGTTCATAGGGATCTCCAACTTAACAGGTGATATTCATTGTTGGCTAGTTTTCTTGTATATGCTGGATCTTTTTTTTATTGGTCTCTCAGTGATAAATATCGTTAGGCTCCTTTATTGCGATGGCATTAATGGACAAGGTGGGGAGAAAACTGCTGCTGCTTTGGAGTTTCTTGGGCATGGTAATTTTTAATTTATTTTGTTTAGAATTTTTGCCGTCAATGTTCTCCCTCCTCCCCTTCCCTCACAACCTCTATAATCCCTTTGTCCTTTGTTTCATCAAACCCTGCTTAAAAGTACATGTTTTGTAACACAAAATGCTTGCTGTGTGTACAGGCTGTATCGATGGGCCTGCAGGTTGCTGGGGCTAGTTCTTACATGCCAAAGGCAGCAACATTTTACTTATCCATTGGTGGTGTATTCTTGTGAGTATTTTTAACAATTAGCTCTAATTTGCCTGGCTTTGGCATACTCAAAAGTTGATCACTGAGTTTGACATTATGCAGTGTTTTACTTTTCAAAAGCTATTTAATTTCCTGTTAATTTAACTATCGTACCATTATACTGGAATTTTGAAAAGTGATCCATTTTGCTCTTTCATGAAATCTAACCTAAGTTTTATTTGTTAACTCTGTGTGTTCAGCTTTGTTTATTTTATCTTTACCTTCCCTGTTATCATATACCAATGTAGGAGAAAAAGAGTGTTGCTGCAAAAAAGAAATTCAATGTATCACCTATCTGTTTGGTGTTATGAAATAGATGTTTAAATGTTATGTTTGCATTAAATTGTCACCATACTTTTGCATTTTACCTGCAAGGGCTGCTGAGGTTTATACACAAATGACGTATAGGCTGAAAAAGTCACTTTTTGGGCTAACATGTTCACTGTAGTCTGTATGTGACTTGGAAACTAATTTCAGAAATTGATACTCCGTAAAAGATGACTTGTCTGACTTTGCTTAAACTTTTGCAGATATGTTCTAGCATTTGCTGTTGGTGCCGGTCCTGTTCCGGGGCTGCTACTCCCGGAAATATTTCCCAGCCGAATTAGAGCAAAAGCAATAGCTTTCTGCATGTCTGTCCATTGGGTAGGTTTCTGATATTTCCTTGTTTCCTTGGTAACAATGCATGACATCTGTGTTTATATTTAATGCCTCCACAAACTATCTGCGTTTTGTGTGTATAAATAACTATCGGTGTTTTTCATTTTTCATGAAATACAGAATAGGAGATAGTTATTGTGTATGGGACAAATGGTTCATTAAATATAGCCTAAACCTGTACAGCAAGAATGACTACGGACTTTTATATTTTAAATATTAGCCCCTCACCCTGCCCAGGGCAGGTCTTGTAGAGCCATTGGTTTAATGTTGTTACCGAATCTATGGTCTCTGCCTTGGGTTGCCTGTTTGGTGGAGTTAGTACAGATGTAGAAGTTCTGCATCAAATGAGAGCTCAAAACAATTAACAGTGATTACTTCGTTGCCATATTTACAGGTCTTTAACTTCTTAGTTGGCTTGTTGTTCTTGCGACTACTTGAAAATTTTGGACCGCAGCTCCTCTATACTGTGTTCAGCACTATCTGCTTGATTGCTGTTGCCTTTGTTAAGAAGAATGTGATAGAGACAAAAGGAAGATCACTGCAAGAAATTGAGATTGCTCTTCTTCCTGATGAATAAAGGTGGTTATCTGTCTTCCTCGTATAATTATGGTTTAGGTTAATGTTGTTGTAATTTACACGGGTCTTTTGCAGTTGTTCTCTGTGCAGTAACAGATGTAGAAGGCCTACGAAGATTAATATTCAAACTTCTAATGTAATTCAAACAGGACACTTTAATGAGAAGGATGATTTGATGAGTAATAGGGAGGAAACTACTCGTTTAAAAGCTACTCCTTGTAACCAATTGGTTTCTTAAGAATCTTAAGCTTAGGATTAGAAGCCAGGATTTGTATCCGGAACTTGTATATGCTATGGAGTAATGGATGTACAAAATCAATACTCTGATTTTACGTATATTACTTTGATTTTACGTAGATAAGCTAATACATGTTGTATTACTCTATTTTTGTCAATAATAATGTGTTCTTTTGGTGGACAGAGAAAGATGGGCGGTTTGATACCTTTGATTATGTGATTCTTATAAAGTCGACTTGATGCTGTTGCTGTTAAATTATTCTAGATATGTTGAATTGAACAACTGAACCATTGGTTTAGCTTTTTGTTTGTACTAGTGGTTGATATGGAGTACTAATTAGTTGCCATAGGCTATAATCAAGCCTAGATAGTGGACTGCATTTTTAGTATTGTACAATTTTTTTCCCTTTCTATTAGGATAAGGAATAGGTGTTCTATTGGGTTATTAGATCGGAATCTCTCACAGATCAAACTTGGCCTAGGTTATCCCGCAAGACCTTTGGGAATGGGGTGGGGGTAAGGGCATAAACAACTAGTACAAGTACTACTTGGTATTATACGAGGTATATTATGAGCAGTAGATTTTTCTTGGTATTATACAAGTACAAGTACTATGTGGTATTATACAAGTACTGCTCTTCTTGGTATTATACTAGTACAAGTACTATGTGGTATTACACAAGTACTGCTCATATATCCGTATAAAACCAAGTAGTATAGTACGATTAGTACCACAATATTTGGTTAAAAAAATTTCTTGCACAGTATTCTGTGTTAGTTGGTTATGCCTGTTTCTTGAGTTGCTCGCATTACATCAGCTTGCAAGATGTTGCTTTGGCCCAAATAAGAAGGTAAAGAAAAAAGGTTTGGGAATGTGTGCACTTAGAGAGGCCTTGGCTCACTTATTATTTTTGCCATTTGCATCACCTTAATCGGCTTAATAACAATAAGTTAAGAGTATACAGAAAAAGAATACAATGAATACAATCACGAAAACAAGCCATCACATGTCATTAGAGAAAATAACATACTCTAAAGACTAATGCCAAATTGCCAATAGATGACATAATACGTCAATATGACCAGTATGACATCCAAGAATATTATGTAGGGTGCTGCTCATAAATTCAAAATTGAAGGACATGTACTCTAAAAGAATACATGGTCCTGAAATCTGCAACTCTTCTCAATCAAAGCGAACAGAGAAACCAGTATCGGTTTTGGTCACATTTACGCCACCAAATTCCTCAAAATCTGAGTCTGAACCTGTTTCCCTGTAATCATTCCAATTGCCAGGGGAATCCTCATCGGGGGAACATCTAGTCAATGGAACTCGAAGTTCGGAAATTGGAACAGGAAGAGGATCCTCTGTGAGGTACTTGTCTTGTAACAGCTCCATTGCAGTAGCTCTACTGGCAGGATTAAAGCACAGAAGCTTCTTAACTATAAGGATTTCATCAGGTGAACGATTTGGCAAGCACGTTTCTAACCCAAGGGGTTTTTCTATTTTATTGAATGAAATCATTTTATAATCAGGAAGGTTTGAACAACCAGGAAAGGTCTCCTCCATTAAGTTGCCCAAGACGTTAAAAATTCTAGAGAGCTGATCTATATCTGAGGTTCCAGGAAAGAGGGGCTCTAAGCTGAAAAGCTCTGCAAAAATGCACCCTAATGACCAGAGGTCAATCTCCACTCCATAGTTTATCGAACCATAGAGCAACTCCGGAGCTCTAAACCACCGAGTCCCAACACATGAAGTTAGAGGACCATAATTGTCCTCCTCACCTGCCTCGGGTTCATATGTATTCGAGCCCTTGAGCAGATCATCTTCTATTTCACTCATAGTGCAAGTGGCAAGACAGGAATTATCTCCATCCAGGGTGTTTGAATCCTTGTCTGTGTCATCTGTAGCAGCAGCTTTAGCCTTCAGCTCAACTAAGTTTCTGAAGAAGTCTTCTCTGCTTGGATTACCTTGCTCTTGATTAGCACAAGCCTGCTCACTTAAATCATTCATGATAACTTCAGGCTGTTGGAATGTAGATGGGTGACCTTGAGCAGTAGCATCTCGCTCATCGTGCTGCGATTGCAAGTCTTCCGCAGATGCAACAAAACCTGGCTCTAGGAGGATTCTTGCCTGAAAACAACAGTTAGGAACACAATGAGTGGCAGATTTCATGTTACAATCCAAGATGATATGAAAAATAACAGCCTTCTGTAATCTGCAAATTTCTTTTTTTAGGGGACTTAATACTCCATATTGGAATTTTTGCAACGGAGAATCCATCATACAATAACCAGAGAACAAAGTGGTCGTTCGGTTTACAATAATTTTACAGGAGATCCAGCTTCCTCAGACCTCAGGCGTATGTGTGGTTAACAAAAACACATCAAGAGAAGTCCTAATTTCCACAAAATTGGAGAAGTTGGTTGACTAGTTCACTTTATAATTGCAATATCTTGAGAGAATGAGAGGTGTAAGCTCCTCCTATGTCACCAAACAACCACTCAAATTCCTAAAGCTAAAAGGGACCTACAATTAACAATTCACTAGCCAAGCTAATACCAACTCATTCAAGCATCAAAATCCAAAAAAGATCTTCAAGAGTCAAGAGTCAAGAGTCAAGACTAGATCTTAGCACCCAAATGACATCTCATGCACAACCATGAAGGCCAAACCAAGAAAAGCAAGAGATATCCAAACAACAATGCTGGGAACTCTCCAAATCTCAGCTGATCAAATTCAATCTATCAGAGCAGAAGTTAGACTGTCAGAACAAAACAGAACGATCTGTATACACCAGATTCGCACTATTTACCACTAATCTAAAATCTGAAGGCATTTAAACATACACATAACAGATATCCATCTCATATCAATGATGAAAACTATAAATTATTCTTAAAATCTCACAATATAATAATGATCATAAGAAATGCTTGCAAATACTAAGTACAAAACCAGGATGTTACTTGACAAACAAATTTCACTTTCCAAAACCACCCAATTTCATTGCAAAATCCCTCCATATATCAGGTCATTATATGCCCAATTCAAAGGATCAATATTATAACTATCAAGAACAAACCCAATAAAAACCCAAATTGCGCCAAAAGCAAACTCAAAAGTTCAAATTCTTTTTGGAATAGTATACCAAAATCATCCAAACATTAGGGTATCAGATTCCTAACATAGAACTGATTATTTGTATGATCACTCATCCACAACCATAAAAACACTAAATAAAGTGTAGTTTCCATCATAATCCCGAGTTTCACTCTCACCGATTACGAGTACCTGAGTTTTGAATTCAAGTTGTCCACCTAGTTTTCTTTCCATATCGATACGAAAATAACCTAAATAATAATAACCAGTGCACATCACTAATCAAAACTCGAAACATCCACACAGTGCAATATAATCTAATACCACCAATCAAAACTCGAAACATCCATACAATGCAATCTAATGCAGCACATTTCAAACAGAAACATCTAAAAACAAGAAATGCCCATGTATAAAACTCATCCAAAATTCAGATAAATAGCAACAAAAATACTATAAAAATCCACAATTCAACAAACTTCTCAATCTAAACACTAAAATTTCATACACATTACTAATCAAAATTAGATATACCCACATCAAATCTCTTCCAAAAATTAGATATACCCACAAAATGCAATCTATAACAACATTTTAAAATCAAAATAAAAAAAATTACCTGACCAAAGTCAGCCAATTTCAGAACCCCATCATCAGAAATCAACAAATTAGCCGGTTTAAGATCACGATGAACAATAGAATTCCGATGACAAGCATCAACCCCATGTAAAATCTGGACCATCCATCGCTTAATCTCCCCAGATGAAATCCCAGCCGTCGAATTCTTCTTACCCTCTTTGATAACCGAAGCTAAATCAGTCCTTAAATACTTCAATACAAGAACAGCATCTTCATCTTCCCTCCAAAAATACTCGTGCAAAACGACGACGTTGGGGCAGTTTTGAAGGGTTTGAAGGGCCTCGATTTCACGAAAAGAGCTCTGATAATCATGGATCTCTTTCAAGGCGACAGTACAGCCGTCCGATCGACGGAGTGCACGGTAAACGTCGGAGTATGCGCCGGAGCCGATTCGTTCTTTGATTTCGTATTTTGCGCTGATTTCTTTTCTTCCATAAATGCTCCAGCTTTTTGATGATGTGGGTGATTCCATTTTTGTAAAAAGATTGTCTTTTTTTTTTTTTTTTAAAATTATTGATTTGATGAAGGTATGAGCAATACTAACAATGGAGGTTGTTTATTTTGAGGAGGAGATAGACAGAGGGGACTGGAAGAGAAGCTGATTGGGTTTTGCAAGGTTTTTTTTTTTTTTTTTTTTTTTTTTTTTTTTTTTTTTTGTTGTTTATTTATTAGGAGTAGATTTAATTTAATTTCCACATCATTTCTTTTATTTTTGGTGAAAATTAAAATTACGGTTAGACAAAACTCTCTTTTAGGAGTGAAACTAAAACGGTTTAAAACCGAATCAAATCGCAAATTAAACCATTATTCATAACACGGTTCGGTTATTTTTTAAAAAAAATATGATTCGGTGCGGTTTGAGAAATAAAAAAAAATGTGTTTTGTAGTTTGGTTTCGGTTTTACGATTTGAAAAACCGAAAACCAAACCGCAATATAGGCCCTTATCTAAATTATAATCCAAATCTGTTTTTCAGCCCTACTATATAAGGACAAAAACAGGCACTAGGCCTCAAAAATTACAGTGCGGTTTGGATTTTATTTTTGAAAACTAAATTAAAACGGTGTAATTTAGTTTGGACTGAATAATAATATGGTGCGGTACGGTTTGCAAAATCCCTAACCGAATTAATACCAGGAATTGAGGATTGACTATTTTGGGTATGAATTGAGGATTGACATAAATTGGGTAAAATTGTATGAATTGACAGTTGAGGAATGAATTAAAAAAAAACAATCTTTTGAACATGACACAAACAAAAATAACTAATCTGTAATTTTGTACTACTCAACATCACTAAGGCCCTGTTCTTTTGAGCTGCTCTGCTCAAATCTACTCTGCTCTGTTTTAAAACAATAATTAATAATAACAAAAATAATAATTAATATTTAATAATAATAATAATAATTAATATTGTATAATAATAATTAATGTGTTTAAAAACATAA